AATAGCATGTTTCATTCCCCTTCCCTTCCTTTTAAAGTGTGTGAGAAATTTTGGAATATTTCAGGATTGACTTGCTTGTTCTGGGACTAAATAACAAGTTCCCTTTGTAGGCGCATTCATTACTAGATTTTAACTATTTGATTTAATTGAATGAGAAAATGCAATGTTAATAGTATTATTGTTGTGTCTTTGCTGAACAGAAGTATTTGTTTAGGCAACTTTGTTTTGGGTCAAATAACAAATGTTTGATAATAAGTTCTGTTGAAAGTAGTGTATATATTTTTGAATAGTTGAATTGAATTTATAATAAGTTCTGTCTGTTGAATGCGTCTTTGTTGGTTTATTTGTTCCTTTGGGTTGTCAGGACACAGGAAAGAAGTGATTTGCAAAAGCGTGTATTGTTTGCTCTAGACTTTTAAGCTTTTCTAATGATTATGCAGTGATATTTTTTTCGGTCTTCAGTGTTCCATTTGGAACTTTCGAGAAAAAATTGCAGTGTGAAATGACCGTCTCTAATTTTGATAGGCTACTCGTGGAAGTAGTGCAGCAAGAAATGACTTCCGAAGGTATCAAAGCAAGTTGCCTTGGCTTTTATGAAGAGAACTCTTGCTAGATGCAGGAAATTTGAGGATACTGGGAGAAGTTGCTTTATGGATCCTGTGCTTAAAGATGTTCTTTTGGCTGCACCTGCTCATGACAATTATGCTGGCTCAGTTGCTGCCATCAATCTACCACAAACTCAAAATTCTGAGGGAGAGGCTATGCTCTCAGGTTGTATAATTTGACCATGATTTAAGTCTTTTCCTTTGGGAAGATGATTTACTCTGATTGTGACAGTCCAGAAGTACTTTCATTTATGTAATTTTGTTCACAAACTGCTATATGTAGGGGATCGATACTAATTAATAACTTGGTGCTTGGCATTTGCAGGTTTTACCTCTTGTAGGGAGCAACATGGTCTTGAAAATGATCAAATCGGCAGTAGTCCAGTGGATGTATTTGAGAATCTAAACCAGCTCTCTGACCATGATTTTGCCAGAACAGGACCAATACTAAACCGAGGGAAGAAAAAGGAACTACTGCTTGATGATGTTGGTGCTGCTGCTTCTTTGAGATCTGTGCCAATTCTTGGCAATTCTTTCATGGGCGGAGCAAAGGGAAAGAGGAGTGAGAGAGAGAAGGACAAAGACCCTTCAGGAAGAAATTCTGTTGCTAAAACTGGTCGACCCTCTGTAGGTTATTCTAGGGGTGAGCGTAAAACAAAAGCAAAGCCCAAACGAAGACAGCTCAACTGTCTGCATCTGTAAATGGATCTCTTGGCAAGTTGCCAGAAAGTACTGATTCTGAGCACCTGTTCACTCTTGGTTCTGGTGAAGGAAATGACAAAGGGAACGCCAGAAAATGTAAAATGGAGTCTGTTTCTCATGGCCATACATCTAATAATTTATCCATGGAGCTGGGGCCAAACATTGACTTTTCTAACTTGCATGAATTTGACTCGATAGAACTGGGTGTAGATAATGAACTTAATGAGCATCAAGACCTGGGCTCTTGGTTGAACATTGATGACGAAAATTTACAAGATCATGATGCAGTGGGCCTAGACATACCAATGGATGACCTGTCTGAGTTGAATATGTTCTAATGAAGGAGAATCCAGGACATATACATTCCTATGGACAGTTTGACTTATATAAACGGTGCTGTGTCAGAGGAAGCTGCTAATAGAATTTATACCTCTGATTATTTGCACTTGTAATTATGCCCATTCTTTTTGTACACTTCTCTACAAAACCAAAGAGAACCAAAAAAAAAAAAAAGTGTAGTCCTCAATTGTTCATATCATTCAGGGATTCCCTCAGGTTGTAACTGCTACAGTTTAATCAAAAAGAAAAAATTTTGATCATCTTATTTCTGTTGTCATTGCTGTTGACTTGTAAATTTTCTCATACAAGTTATTATGTCATGACTTGTCTACATGCATCTCAGGACGTTCAGATAGGCTCGGCATGTTGAAAAGTTTTCACAAAATTGCAGACCACTGTAACTGTTTCAAAGTGATATGGCTGCTAAAGAGGTTAACTAATTCAAGTTTATCGATGAATTATTTCTAGGGTTTATGTCGAGCTGAGGAGGAAATTTCCTCACGTTTTTCGTGGATTTGCAAGTTCTTGTGGCCTCTCCCTTTATTTTACTCATTTCGTAGCTTGTTAATAACTTCAATGATATATTGTAATGATGACATGTTATGAATTGAAGGGGAGTAGATTTTAATTTTTTACTATGATTTTTAAAGCCTGATACTTTCTTTACCGTGTTTGTGGAGATTGCATTTCTTCCTGACAGTAGTTATGTTCCGCTGTGAGTGAAGCTACCATAATTGCTTCAAATTTGTACATTCTTATTATATCGCTCCTGAGTCGTAATGCCTGGAATGTTGGAGTCAACATTTGATATCAGAGTTCAAGCTTGGGTTGGGCAGGGAAACATGAGTTGCTTTGTCCATTTTTTTTCATGGTTTTTTTACCTGATAATTTCTTGTACTTCTAAACTGTCATTTCTGTCCTGTATTACCAAATCTTTTATCCTGGAATTGTTACACAGATCTGATAATTAACCAATCTCAGTCTTAACTTGCTGTCTTGTGAAGTTCTTGTTTGAATTTTCCACACCACATTGCTGGTGCCATTGGAGGGTGGATTTTCAAGTTAGTTCTGTGCTGCAGTTTTTGGGCTTCTCTGCAGATCATTTATCATAGATCATCTACATATCAGCTTTTGTAGGGTGCACCGGGGCACGTGCGTGTGGAGAGAGAGAGGGAGTGGGAGAGAGAAAGTATAAGAGAAGTGATTATTTATTAAAGAGAAAAGTAATCTGCTGGTCCTTAAAGTTCTATAGGATTTTCAATTAGGTACCTGAAGTGTTTTTTTATTTTTTAAAATTAAATCCTTATACTTACTAAGGTTATAGCCGTTAATCCTTTCGGACAAAAAACGTTACAGAATGTTAACAGATTGAAAACGGCATTGGTACTGAGGTGGAAAACTTAAGAGCCGTGATATACATCTTCGATGAAGTGGTGGGTATAAGATCTTCAACACTAAGGAACACCAGTAAATGTTTCTCTAGGAAGCCATTGCCTACTTTTCAATGACCATGGAAGTCCAAGGAAGAGCAAGTCCTTGCCCAGTGAGGGGAGGGAGTGAGGAATGCTGACATTGGGCATTGATAAATTTCACAAACGAGGGGAACAAAAATAACACTTGTTACTACCATTCTCAGTTGTTTTCCAGCTAAAATCCGCTTCAGAGTTTAGACCATTCCTTCCTTTCCTCCATTGAATCCAACAAATTGTTTTGCTTAATACCTAAGAGTTACACTTACGTATATAGAAATTTTGAAAAACTGGATCATATCCAAAGCTTCATGCTCAGGCCCAAAAAAAAAAAAAAGATCCAAAGCTTCATGCTTGTGTAATCTATTATGGGTCTATTTATGCTAACCCAAAAGTAGCTTAAATTTTAAAATAAGCTGGGTTTGCAGTGAGGGTCTGTTTGGCAGAGCTTATAGTTCACTGGATTTGTGCATTTTTAAGCTATCTAAACGCCCAATTAAAATAAGCTCCAAGAAGGAGCTTATTCATCTATGAGAAGAGCTTATATTAGACGTTCAGCAATGTTAGAGAATGAGATTCCTTTTTTTCTCTCCCATCTGCCTTTTCCTCCCTCGAGCTCACTTCTTCTTCTTCTTTTTTCAACCCAAAACTCCCACTTTATATTTGCCTTATTTTTTTTCCCCCATTTTTATGGTGTTTTCAAATTTAATTCACTTAATCAATTTCACTTATTCATATTAAATTAATTTAAATTCATTGTATTATGTCAATTTATTTATTTTTATCATGTTTTACTTTATATTTAAAATATTTGTTATGATTTCTCTAAAGTTTTCAATTTTACTTCACTTATTAAATTTCACTTTCTTCATTATGTTATCTCAATTCTTTTTTTTTCCCATGTTTCAATTTATATTTAAAATATTTTTTTTGATTTCTCTAAAATTTTAAAATTTAATTCACTCATTAAATTTGACTTCTTCATATTAATTTAGTTTAATTTCATTGTATTATGTGAAGTCATTTTTTTATTATGTTTTAATTATTTGTTAAAACATATACTCATTTTGGTAATTTTTTAACTAAACTTACTTTTACTTAATTATGATCCAAACAACCTTTTACCAATCTCACTTTTACAAACTAACTTTTCTGAACTCCAATCTAAACACAATTCAGCTTATCCAATTTAACTTTTACTAACTTCACTTTTCTATAAGCTACTTTTTCTATAAGCTATTTTTCCAATTGCTGATCCAAACGGGCACTATATGTTTATTGGTTTTAAGCCTACCTCTGTTTTTTATCCTTAAAAACAGGGATAAACAGAGTAATACAATTTACCAGAATGTAAGATTGAAAAACCAATAGATAATATTAAAAAGTATCAAGTACTCTTAATCAGCGTAGGGGGATAAAATTATCAGCTTGTAAAGACTGGGTATTGCACTTTGAATTGAAGAAACTCATGTTTCAATTCTCCAAATATATCACGAGATTCTTCTATAGCACTTTGAACATAGGTAATGATTGGAACAGTTTGTATAATACTGCTGCTGTAGCTAATTATTAGAAGGTTTTGGGATATGCATTAAAGGAAGAAATATATTATGACAATAGTGGGAGAATGATAGACCAAGACGCTTGATGAACGGTCTCATCAAGTTAGCCAATTCTTTCTACTTTGATGCAGTTGTATTAAAATTCCAGCAAAGAGCAGACGTTCACTAGGGACCTCAATGTCAGTGCCGTTTACTATCTGTTAACATTTTATAACGTTTTTTGTCTGAAGGATTAACGGCTATAACGTTAATAAGTATCAGGATTTATTAAAAAAAAAAACTTTGGGACCTGATTAAAAATCATATAGAACTTTAAGGACCAGTAGATTACTTTTCCCCTTTTTAAAATTCAGATGTTTCTATCCGCCGACATGCTGCGTGTGATCAATAGACAAGTCAAACACTGCTTCATTGGACTAGAAATTGAAGATTGCATAGTCAAGGGAAGTAATAATATTACTCTTTTTGATATTTAATATAAAAACTAGATAATTATTTTTAATTCGAGTGATAAAAAGCTAGATAACTAATTTGTAGTGTGTATTGTTTTTTTTTTCTTTTCAAAATACTCTTTCTAATTATGTGCATTATAATTATTTCTTTATGGAACTATGAAAACCTTTTATTATATGCAATCAATAAGACTATGTTGAAGAATTATAAATTTAAAAGATAAAACGAAATGATGTTTTATATTTTGGATCAAATAAACTTGTTCAGCTCCTGTATTTAGAACAGGAGGTAGTATTAGTGAACAAGTTGCTGTTCATCTCTTAATAATATCATTGGGCAGAAAGTATATTTGTACACTTCTGATCCAACATGGCGCTATCGTTCATTTCAGATGGCGAGACAGCAATTTAAACTATAAAAGCGCTGGATGAAATTTTCAAGGTGATGTCCATCATTCAACTATGCTTGTTCACGTAGTCTTTTTGCCATCATGATTAAAATCACTTATAAGCACGTTTTACGTAAGTTAAGATAAAACTCTCATCACATACTTACCTCGTATTTCGTAAATCACGATTAAAAAATTATTTATAAGTTATTCTAAACGGGTCCTGTGTTAGTAATAGAAAGATGGGTATGATAGGCTGCACGTCGATTCTCTTTAGAGTTTGCTATTATTATTATTATTATTATTAAACAAAAGTTTAAATGAGTCAGGCTATAGAGAGTAGAGACTCATTAGAGACAGAGCATTCTAACAAGGTGGTTTCTAAGAGCTTATTTGAATTTTGAAATACAATATTTATGGACGACTACGACGACGATGATAAAACTGATTTGTGAGTATAATGAGGGCGCAATAACGTAATGTTTTGTTCTAGGTATATGATTCTTTATTCTCATGCGTTGAAATACTTGACAATCTGACTAGTTTGATAAAGATATGATTGGTTTTCCCCCTTGAATTTGTGGTCAAAGTTGCATCTCTGCCTTCTAGTGCTCGTTTAAAAAGAAGAAGCAATACATGTACAGACACACACTCTCTTTCTATTCTTAATATATAACTAATTAACTAATTTTAATAGATTAAGTGCTCGTTTGGAATCATGTGGAAATTCTTTATAAGCACGTTTCACGTAAGTTGAGACAAAACTCTTCTCACATACTTGCTCGTATTCTGTAAATTACTATTGAAAAGCTACTTATAAGCTGTTTCAAACGGGCTTTAAAAATGTTGGTTTAAATTATTAATATAATATGTTTTTTTCTAAAACATTCTAAGCATTTTGATTCTCTCCTCCTTCTCTTACTTGATTATTATTAAGAGAATATCAATAGGGTTAATTTTAAAAAAAAATTGATAAACATATCAAGTAAGTTTTACATATATGACTCACATCAATTCTTAATTTGGTCAGGTCCTAACCGGAGGAATATATATATATATATATATATATATATATATATATATATATATATTCAGTGAGCACTATGAGGTTAGCCAAAAAAAAAGAAAGAGCGCTATAAGAACCTATTTTTATTTACTTTGAGATCTAATGAGTCTGCCTGTCAAATTATAATATAAATATTTAACAATATATATATGTTCAAAATTCAAAGGGCTCAGAAATTTGTACAAGTTAATATATATATATATATATATTCAATATCAATCATCAATACTTGTATAACATAGATATTAAATATGACTTTTTTTTAAGTAAAAATTTAAAATTTGGTTCGTTTTATTGTA